TGCGGCGGTTGCAGAGGTGGCAGCCGGGGTGGCACGACCCATGGTGGCGGCGGCGGCGATGCGGTGACAATGACGATGACGATGACGACGATGATGACGATGATCATGATGTTGATTATGTTGTTTTGTTGTTGATGATGATGCTGATGCTGATGCTGATGCTGATGATGATGGTGATGGTGATGTTGGTGATGGTGATGGTGATGGTGATGATGCTGATGCTGATGCTGATGATGATGATGATGATGATGGTGATGATGATAGTGTTGGTGGTGCTGATGACACTGATGACGATTGTTTTTGATGATGCTGATAATCATGATGACAATGCTGATGCTGCTGACGATGATGCTGATGACGATGACGATTACGATGATGATGACGATGCTGATGGTGATGATGATGAAGACAATGATGATGATGATGATGATGATGATGATGATGATGATGATGATGATGATGATGATGATGATGATGATGATGATGCTGACGATGTTTGTGACTACGATGATTATGTTTAGGACGGTGCTGATTATCGTAATGGTGCTGATAATGCTGGTGATGAAGCTGACAATGATAATGCTGATGATGACGATGATGATAATAATGCTGATGCTGATCGCGATGATGAGGATGATGGTCGTGATGGCGATGATGATTGATTATGATGATGGTGATGATGATGAGGTTGTTGATGGTGGTGATGATGAATGGTGATGATGCTGATGTTGATGCTGCTGGTGATGATGATGGTGACGGTGATGATGATAATGATAATGATGATTATGATGATGATGATGATGATGATGATGATGATGCTGATGCTGATGATGATGAGTGTTGATTATGGTAACGATGATGATGGTGGTGATGGTGATAATGGTGGTCGTGATGATGATGATGATGACCATGGTGATGATTGCCATGATGGTGATGTTGGTGATGGTGGTGATGTTGGTGATGTTGATGCTGATGATGATGATGATGTTGATGATTATCATGATCATGGTCATGATCATGATCATGACAGGCATGGAGATGGGTGGTAACAATTACCATGTTGAGTACGTTGTCGGCGTCAGCGATGGAGGGATGGTGTGGGGATGCGAGCGTTTCCCCCTTGGAGCTCCAAGAAGCCGCGTGGGCCTGGCGGGCGAGGTCGCAGGGTCCTGTGCAAGGGGGCAGAGGCTTGCCCACACGTGCGTAACGTGCTTGATCACTGTGCCACAGTCAAACATGCAGCTTTCACTCTGGGGCCTCCTCGAAAACGAGCGGTTTCCGGCTCCCTTCGGTTTCCGCGGCCTCCATTCTTGCATGAAACGGGGGCCCCCAAACGGGGTGGAGACCACACTGTGCGGTGAGTCGGTGGGGATTCGGGGTCACCGCACGGTTTTGGGACTCGGGTCGTTCTCCGAGGACGTCTCGGGCGACTGGGGCCTCCGAGGTCCCAAGACCGTGCGGTGACGGACCGTGCGGTGAGGTCTTGGGGGATTTCGAGGTCACCGCACGGTCCGTCACCGCACCGTTTCGGGACTCCAAAATGAACCCATCTTCAGGATCGAGGTTTTCCTTCGAAACGTACTCGCATGTGTCTCACCAGTTTTTGCGCCGGTGTCCTCTGAGTTTCCGCGGTGTCTGCGCGCTTCGGGTCAGGACGGTAACGGCTGCCTGCCTTCGACGCGATCGATTTGCCAGCGGAGTGTCAAAACAAAAATCTATAACATAGTCGTTCTGTGGTTCGAAGGCTCCCAAACTGGGAGCCGTGATTGTGCGCTCTCTCCATTTCGCTCGCTCCGCCTCCTTCCTTCGCCTCGCCAAACATGAACACCAACAAAAAAGGGCCTCTACATCCACCTTATAAGGGCGCCAGGTTGTCACATGTCCTTTATAGCGCTGCCCTTCTCGCCTGGCAGGGGGCCAACAAAACGGGGCCGTCGAAACGTTGTTGACTTGTTCGTCAGCCCCAGTTCCAGACCTCCGACATCGTGTTACGTGCAATGCTTTGGCCCCAGAACTGCTGACCCCGTCCCAAGGAGTGGTTTCCCGTCGTGGGTCAACGTCTGCTGACTCCAAGGCCCGAACATGTTCTTCGGGCCTCCGTGTTCCCTACCAGCGTTTCCCTAGTAGGGTTCCCATGGCGATCCTGGGGGCAGGCCTTGCTACACTTTCGCAAACTGCCTCTTGCCATAGATATTCAAGGCTGCCTGTAAACAGCAACCACAAATCAGGGACGGCTTGGGTGGCCACGCAGCCGCAGGCAAGACAGACAGTGCTCCCAGACTCCTCGTGACAGGCCAGGGTGCGGGAGCAGGCTAAGGAGGCGCACCAGAAGGAGCCCCACAATGGGGGGACCGGAGAGCCCTGGACCGCCCGGTCCGGCCACCGTTTCGCTGCAGGGTTCCCCACACTTTCTCCAGGAGTCGTCCTCCTCCTCCTCCTCCTCCTCCTCCTCGTTTTCCTCCTCGTCGTCCTCCTCCCCCTTCAGGGGGAGGAGGAGGAGGAGGAGGAGGAGGAGGAGGAGGAGGAGGAGGAGGCTCCCGCCTCCGTGCCGGCTGCCTGTTTGTGGTCTGGGCGGCCACGATGCCTCGTCAAGAGTACGCTGAGGTGCACGCGGCCATGCTCTCGCCCCTGTCCGGCTGCATGGTCCTGCCACGACCTCCCTCTCCTCGACGCTTCTCTTCCCCCTTGCTGCTATTGGGCTGCTCTGCTGGGGTGCTCTGCTGGGGTGCGTTTGTTGTTGGGATGCTTTGTTGGGATGCTCTGCTGGGGTGCTTTTGCTGGGGTGCTCTTGTTGCTGGTCCACGCCGTCAGAGGTCTGGCGCTCTCGGGCGACGGTGTGGCTACCTGGGGCCTCGGCGACGTCCCCTCCGAGAGGGGGGCAGGAGCAGCTGACGCGCCTGGAGCGATGCCTCCTCCCCACCAGCCTCCCCCAGGCTCCCTTCATCTCCGTCATTCCTCCTCCCCCACCTCCACCATCTCTTCAGACCCCACCAGTCCTCAGCCTCCTGCTTATATACCCCGTCCCCCCCTCATCATCATACTGTGTATATTGCTCTGTCGGCCATCCACCTACTCCATCCCTCAAGGCTGTTGGCTCCTGCTGACGGTGGCAGTGGCTTGGATGCGCGTGTCATGTGGGACGTCGCCGCGGTTGTACCAGGAAGCTGGACGCATACAGTCGGCCCGGATTAGTAGGTCGACCTTGCCAGCTCAAGGGTACCCTCGTGTCCTGGGCCTCGCGACACGTGCCTTCTTACACTCCTATGGCGATGTGGCCCTCGGAAGGGTCTTGTTCGGAAACTGGAGCATATACATTGCCAGTGGCGGGCGGCTTTTCAAATCCCACGACTTTTTTGGGGTCGGGGACGACGTCGGAGTGGTGTGGTGTAGATGTTTTCCTTTTTTCCTTCGGACACAGCAAAAAACGTATACACCAGGATGCCGTATACACCATGACCCGTTCTTTGGTGCGAATCCCAGTGCGGGACCGGAAAAAAGCACCGGTGTATAAAGTTTGGTTCCTTACTCGTGTCCTCTCGCGTGCCCCTCAGAGCTGCAATCTGAACTCGTTCTTGCGCTCTCCCGAGCGAGCGCGCTCAGAATTGCAATCTGAGCTCGGTTTCGTGCTCCCCCAGAGGGCGCGCCCAGAATTGCAATCTGAGCACTCAACCGCCCGAATTGGCAATCTACGCCGTGCAACGCCCGAAACGGCAATCTGGATACAGAAACGCTTCAATCGGCAACCTGAGCACCGCGCCCAATCAGGGCCGACGGTGTGGAGTGGCCAGCCTGGGCGAGGGCTGGATGCACGTGTGGCCAGGCGCGGTGGTCCTGCGCGTGTGCATCCCAGCAAGAGGCCTCCGGAGGTTCCGCGCACGAGTCCAGCCTCGTCCCCCTCCTCCTCCTCGTCGTCGTCGTCCTCCTCCTCGTCGTCGTCGTCGTCCTCCTCCTCATTTTGTGTCCTCTCGCGTGCCCTGCCCAGTCAGGGCCGACGGTGTGACGTGGCCAGCCCGGGCGGGAGCTGGAGATGCACGCGCGTGGCCGCACGCTCTTCCAGCGCTCGGCCCCCGCGTGTGTGGCCAGGCACGGTGGTCCTGCGCGTGTGCATCCCGGCAAGAGGCCTCCGGAGGTTCCGCGCACGAGTCCAGCCTCGTCCCCCTCTTGCTCGTCGTCGTCCTCCTCCTCCTCCTCCTCCTCCTCCTCCTCGTCCTCGTCCTCTTCCTCGTCCTACTCCTCGTCGTCCCCCTCCTCCCCCTCCTCGTCCTCCTCCTCCTCCTCCTCCTCCTCCTCCTCCTCCTCCTCCCACCCCATCGCTCGCTCGCTCGCGGGGGCGGCGGCGCGGGAGCGCGAAGGTGCGAGGATGCTTCCAGGTTCCTGGTGCAGTGGGGAGGAGCAGCAGCAGAGGCGGCTGCAGCGGCAGGAGGAGCAGGCCAGAAGAGGAGCAGGAGGGGAAGAGGTCATCTCTTGTTGCCCCGCTGCAAGCTTGGCTTTCTGTCTGCGGGTTCTGCCGAACGGAGTCGCGGTGCACCGGAAGTTGCATGCCTTCATTGCGGTCTGGAGTTGATCCAACGCTTCGTATCCCTCATCCTCGCGATCACCATCATCAACTTTTAATTTTAGTTGCGGAATGAAGGAGAAGGAGGAAGAGGCAGCAACTCGAAGACCTTCCCACATTCAGACCCTGAAGCACAACGAATTAGACGGCCTCTTGGTTTGTGAATCCAGGGATTCTCGCTGCGAAGCTCATGTCAATCCGGTAAAATAGAAGCAGTTTCCTCTCGCGAATCTCGAGTGTACCATTTCGAATCGAGTTCAGCCCCGTCGTTCTTCCACTCCTCGTCCTTGTCTCCGTTCTCAGTCGCATGTGTTCTGTCCGTTGCCTTTGTCACTGTCTCCATCTCTGTCATTGTCTGAATCTTGTGCTGACTATCGCGTCCTCGTCGATGTCCCGTGCGCCCCCATCTTCCCGCTCCGTCCTCTTCCTCCTCAGCCATTTTTGGCTCAAGGCTACGGCCGCAGTGCTTCCCGAGATGGGTGAGACAGCTCAGGCCAGCGGTAAGGAGAGCTGGGAGAGGACGTGCAGCAACCGGGGGGGGGGGGGCACGCGAACAGCTTCCCAGAGGGGGTGGGAGAGGGGGGGGGAGGAGGAGAAGCAGGGGGAGGAGGACAAGGAGACAAGGGAGAGAGGGGGGGAGGCAGGGAGAATACAGGAGGGAGGTGGAGAGAAAGAGATAATGGAGGGGGAGGCAGGGTGATAGAGAGGCGAGGGAGGATGCAGGAGGAGGCAGGGGGAGGCGAGAGAGAGAGGCAGGGTGAGAGAGAGAGGCGGGAGAGAGAGGCAGGGTGAGAGGGCGGGGCAGGAGGAGGCAGGGGGAGAGAGAGGGCGAGGGAGGGCGGAGAAAGGGACGCTGGCAACACGTCGCTCGTTTCAGCCGGCGTCGCGTCCACGAGCCGTGGCCTGGTCAGAGCGCTCCCCCGGCGCCCTCGGCCAGAGGCCGCCACGGGGCCGCGGGGCGACGAGGCGACCTGGAGCGCGAGACCAGGCCCGAGGGGACCTGCGCACTCGTGCGTCGCAGGCTTTGGGGGGGGGGCGGAGGGGGAACCTGCCCACCCGAAAGAGAGGCTTGGGCCTCGGCCCGGGGCGCGCGTGCGGGCCGTGCGAGCCTGCGCGCGAGGGCGAGGGCCAAACCGGGCCGGGCGCACGTCACGGCAGATCGAGTCCGTCCGTGCTTGGTGCATGGCGTTGGGTCATACGAGGGTTCAGTCGGGCCTGTCCCTCCACAGGAGGAATAGGAATATTCAAAAGTAGTCAAACAAGTGTCTTGGGACGATTGTTTGGCCATGTTTGAGTAATTTAGGGTGTTGTTTTTTGACTATCTCTAATTGTTCGTCCAACATCGGCCTGTAGAGGGACAGGCCCGACTTTGCAAGGGCCGTCCCGTGTTCGACGCGTTGTTCCCATGGTTGCCCCTCGGTTGTTACAAGACTGTCTTGTGTTCCTCCCGGTCGGGTTCGTTCTTATGATGGTGCGGTTGACCCGCGGCTGTCCCTTGTTTGTTCTCCACATGGGTTAGGTGCAAGGCGCCCCGCCTTTTACTGTGCCCTTGTTCAAGCATCTCTTAAGAATGGCTGCCCCATTATATTTTGAATGTGCCGCTTTGGGACAGGCTAGAGGAATCCATGGTTATGCCAATCGAGCCCTTGCTGGATTCCTTGGGTATGCCAATTTGGTCGTTGGGTAGTGTAGGGTAGAGCCAACTGCAGAGGCAGAGCGCGATCAGATCCACCACCCAAACCCAATCATAAAGGTTCACCCCTTCTACATAATCCAAACGCCTTCGAAAAGTCCCATCTTGCCCGGGAATCCTTAGAAAGCACATCTTGTCCGATTGTTGAGGGTGTCTTCGCCAGAGTGTCCGCTAAATCCCAGCAGAAGGCCGTTCAAAGTGTTGCGATCATGCGCACATCTTGGTAATGGTGTTGATGAGCACTGGCGCGCGCGAGCACAAACTACTACACTGTGCGCAACCAAGTTCCGATGCGTTTCAAGCACGCGAGCATGCGCTTACTGTTTCGTGCTGGTTTTGTTTGGTCGAAAGGATTTGGGCTTGCAAGCGCGCGCATGTGGCCAGTGATGGCACGAGGGACTCGCACAGTAGGCCAACACATGTCCCGAAAATATGGGAACGCGAATCATTCGGAGACATCCGGCCTGTGGGGGCCCCCTTGGAGCTCTCCTGGGGCATGTCGGAGCCAGTGGGCCGCCTTGAGGCCGCCTCCGGGCGCTCTGGGGCCCTCTTAGGGCCTCGGGGCCCTCCCCTCCCTAAAACGACGCGAAGATCGGGACAAAATCGGATCGGGATAAATCGCTCCAGAGCGTTCCGCAACGCTCTGAGAGCGCTCCAGAACGCTCTGGAGCAATTTATCCCGATCCCAGCCCTGTTTTACTCCCGGTGACCCCTCAGCCCATCACGGCGCTCTCTGGCCTCTCGAGAACTCGTGCGGCCCGCCCCGGAAGTCACGCGGGGCGCCGCAGACGTCACGCGGCGTCACGCGAGCAGCCGCAGGCCGACCACAACGGCCCTGCGCCCCTTGGTCTACCGAATGACCATGCTCAGTGCAGAGGACTCCAGCGTACCTGCGGAGATCCCACCCAGTGCCTGCGGCACGGTGGTGGAAGCGTGGTGCAGTCCATGTCGTGCAATCTGGGTGTTGCAACCTGTGTCGTGCAAAGCCCGGTTGCAACCTATGCGCGCCTCGAGTGGCCCACGGCCCCGCCCCTTTCGCGCGCGCGGCGCGGCGCGGGCTCCGTGCCCTCATGCCCTCCTCCTTGCGAGGCCGCAGCTCGAGGAGGAGGAGGGGGAGGGCGAGGAGGAGGAGGAGGGGGAGGAGGAGGAGGAGGAGGAGGAGGAGGTGGAGCAGGAGGAGGATCTCATCCAAAGCGCGCGTACGGAAGCGCCTGCCAACGCGCGCAGCGGCCACGAGGCGGCCACGGGCGGGCCCCCGACGACAGCCTGGAAGACCCAGCCAGCACACGAGGCGGGTCTGGGCGGGCACTGCCTATGGGGGCCACGCGCGATCCCCCGGACAACCTAGCCAGGACACGAGGCCGCTGCAAAGCGGCAGCGGGTGGGCACGGGGCGAAAACCCAGAGAACCCAGCCAGCACACAAGGCGGCCACGAGGTTGCCACGGCCAGGCAGCGGGTGAGAATTCGCACGACTCAGCCAATAGTGTACATCATGGACGAGTAAGAAGCTCTTGATGGATGCACCGACAAGCATCCACATGTTTACTAACGTTGTTCTGTTAGCCAGCTTGGTAAATGCGTACATGGAGGCCCGTTTTACACAGGGAGCTATGTATTTGCACACCTAAGTTGATGGACCGCTGGGAAGTCGGATCAGTAACATGCTTATAAATGTAGTTGTGTATGTATCTCTGTGTATACTCATGTCTAGGTGCACATGCGTACATGCGTACACGCAGTATGTTAACAATGTCAGAATTGCAGTTGTAAGCATGAAAGTATGTAGAGAGAGGCAGACACCATGTGTACATTGTGTTTAATCGGTGTCTCGCACGTTTCGTTGGAGTGAACGTGCCTCGATGGTTATGTCGTTGGACCGCATGTTGAGAAGTTGGGCAGCTAGACAGCTAGATCTGCACGCGTATGCACGATCAGGCGATTTGATTGTTCTGTATGGGGTCACATTGTTGAATCTTTGCATGCATACAAACAGACGGTTAGCCAAGTATGTGAGATCTTTAATTGAAGAATTGGGCTACATAAGTGGGTAGACATGTGGTTGGATCGTCAAATCGGGAGGCACGCAGTTCGATAGGTAGAACTAGCGGTAGGCAATTAAATCGACGGTTGGGTTGCGTGCTGGACAGGTCGATTGTTAGATCTAAAGAGTAATGTGTTTTTGTGTTCTCACGCGGCCCGACAGCAGCATAGCACCGGAACTTACACTGACATGTTTACGGTTGGTTAATCACATTTGACAATCTCCAGATAGGTATACCGATACACGCTTACGTTGTGCGTGCGATAATTAGCTAGGTCGTCGGCTCGATTGGAAGTTAAACAGTGAAGCCACTTGCTTGGCGTGTCGGCAGACTTTGTATTTACACTAACAGATCTCAGCGTTGAGACCTTGCACATCCAGCAAATGCAGCCCTGAGCCTGCCCTTCTCGCCCGCTTCGCGGTGTTATAGGCAAGCCTGGGTCACATTGCTCAGAGTCGCTGACTTCACGAAGGCTGGCGCAGCGAAGCACCCTTGCTGTCAGCTTGGTCCCTCCTTGTTTGGTGGCCCACTGGCCAGTCTCTGCCAACGGATGCGAGCTTACTGGGCGCTGGGTTGCGCTCGGCACCGCCTCGGACTTCGTGGCATCTCGTGGCGCTAATTCGTCCGCGTCGCACCTTTCCGACCCTCACTCGTTCCGCTCTGGCCCCCGCGCACCTCCGGCGCCCTCACCTGCCGACAACGGCGCGGGGCCCCCGAGGTTCTCGACCCCAGGCGGGATTCGAACGCATCTCGCGCGCCGTGGGCCTCTCGCGTGGGCCCCGGGGCTCGATGCGGCCTTCGTGCACCCAAGCTCAGACGAAGAAGAAGAAGAAGAAAGAAGCAGGAGCCGACTGAAGCAGCACACGCACAAGGGCGTCACGATGTGTGGCAGCGCGCCAGCGGTCGTGGCGCTGCGGCCGCGCGTCGGGCCGGCGGGGTCCGCTCGGGACGGTTCTGGTGCCTCCTCTTGGCAGGCCCTCGGCGAGGCGCAGCCGGGGGCTCCGCAGCCTCTCTGGGCATCCCGCCGCGAAGCTCGGGAGGCTGCCCGGACGACAAGGGAGCGACTCCGCCGGGCGAAGCTCGGCCAGGCTGAGGTCGGCCAGGCTGAGCTCGGCCGGGCCGAGCCTGGCCCGGGCCGAGGCCAGCTCGGCCGAGCTCAGCCCGGCCGAGGTCCGCCGGCCGAGGTTCGGCTGGCCGGCTTTTCGGCCTGGCCGAGTCGATCCTCGCCGAGGTCTGTTGCTGCACGGACACCCCTTGGATCTCAGAGCGCCATGTGAGCGACGAAGGAAAACAGGTTCGTCTTCGCCGACCTTGGCGCGTAAGCTGCCCGCGTAAGGTCGCGCGTGTGCGCCTTCGTTTCCAGTGTGGCGTGCCGCGCTGGCGGCCCTCGTAAGGTCATCGACGATAAGAGAACCCTCAACCCGAATAACACGATGAGGACGTAGCCCAAGTCAGGCCCCCGTGCTTGCACTAGGGAAACTAGCGTGGCCTGGTTCGATACGTCTGCAGAAAAAAAAAGAGAAAGACACCCTATCCCTAATGTGTTGGGCCTCTTCATTCCGGTCCGCTCCCAGAGGGCTGTGCGCACTTCAACTGCGCATCAAAAACCGCGGCGCAAGGTCGCTACTCCAGATTTCGTAATAAAAGGGAGGGGGTCTGGACCCTCCAAGACAAGCCATTTCAGACCTCCCCCGTGGGAGAACCCTCCAAAACATCGTCCCGAGACCCCCCCAGGCCCTCCAAGATAGCCTGGAAGAGACCCCCCCCGAAATGAGACCCCCTTCCTTTTATTACGAAATCCGGAGTACGCCACCTTGCGTAAGACCTGTGTCTTTCCGCCGCCCCTGCGTGTGCGCCCGCTGGTGCTGCCCCTCGGCGGCGCGCACAAGGAGGAAGCACCCCCGCTCCTCAGCGGGCCCGGGCTTTGTCTGTGGATGTAGGGCCGGCACCTCCTAAGAAGCAGCTTCGCCACCTTGCGTAAGACCCGTTTCTTTTCGCCGCCCATGCGTGTGCGCCCGCTGGTGCTGCCCCTCGGCGGCGCGCACAAGGGAGTGTGGGGAGGGCGGAAGGCTCCTTTGAAGCACCCCCGCTCCTCAGCGGGCCCGGGCTTTGTCTGTGGATGGAGGGCCGGCAGCTTCTGAGAAGCAGCTTCCTTCTAGGAAGCCTTGCCGCCCTCCCCCTCCTCCCCTCCCCTCTGTGCCACATAACCGCATGCACGCCTCACCATGCACAATAGTATTTCAGAGGCCACGGCCTCATTCACCTGGTCTCCAGCAGGCCTGGACTGCTGTCCGCATTGGTGGTCGTTCGTTCGTTCGTTCGTTCCCACCCTCCCCCCACGCCCCTTGTGCGCCCGCTGGTGCTGCCCCTCCCCTGCCAGGCGTCCAGCGAGGCCGGCGCTGCGGACGGCTCGGAGGCGGCCCCGTCGGCTGCCGCGGCGGAGGCTGCCGCGGCGGAGGCTGCCGCGGGAGGGCGCTCTTTGAATTCCTCGCTGCTGGCATGGGTGCATGACGGTAGTGGGGGATAGGCATAGTCCGAGGCGGGAATTTGTCGATATCCACTGCCTGGAGGGTCAGTTTTCGGAGCCTCGGCAGGCGGTGGATATGGACGTATTCGGGCCCCCGGGGGCGAAATATTATTTATTTGCCCAGTACAGTGTTGCGCGAGGCTTATCAAGTCAGATTCTATTTAAAGTGCCGCTCAACCACCCTCGTGGTAGAGCTCCCTCCGGGCAGCCGCTCCAGGTGAGAGGCTTCTCGTGCGTCAGCGATGCACTACACGCATTACCGCTAGGGAAGACGACGGGAGCCGAGTCCAGCGGAGCGCCCTCGGGAGGCACGCGGTGCCAACCCGGGCGCAGCGTGACAAGCCGAATCCAGCCGTAGTGAGCGTCGTAACGGCACGGCGTGGGCAGCTAGCCGGATCCAGCCGTGGCGGGCGCCGTGCCAGTGGGCACAGCAGAAAGGAATAAAGAGGGGAAAACGCCGTAACGGCGCGCCGGGGCCGCTGCACACAGTGGTATCCAGGGCGCCTGGCGGCCAGACGGACAGGGCAGGGCGTCGGGAGGCGTCCTACGCTGTCACTGCGAGTCGAAGGTGGGGGCCGACGCCTGCGCAGTGGAGGGGTCACACACGCCAACTATGAAGAGGGCTCCGTCGTTCGGCAAGTGCGGGAGTATCTCGGAGAGCGGTTTGTCAGCTTCGACGGCCGAGAGGCCCTCTTCGCTGAGGAGCTGAAGAGCAAAACTGTGGGTGCAGACCATGTGGACCTTTTTTGAGGTCTGGTGGGCAACCCGGAAGAGGTACGGCGGGCGGTGAATCGACTTTGCGGTCACCGCGAAAGGCTCGAGGTCGACCGAAGGGTTGCTGGTCTCGAGCTTGATGAAGACGGGGATGGGCACGGAGCCTGCGCCTTCAAACTCCGCGCGCATGTCCTCGACAGTGCCGAAAGTGACGTCGTTCTCCACGTCGTCGTTGGATTACGCGGTCAGGGCGCCGAGCGCGGGAAACGAGGGGACTGCGGGCAGAGACACGTCCTCGATGCCTGACTTCACTCGCGGGGTCGCCATGGCACCCTCGGTTCTTCGTGGGCACCCTGGGCTGTGTCTTCGGCCGCTTCTGAACCTCGGTCGTCTTGCGCACCCAGGGCTCGTAGGCGAACTGCACCAGCGATCGAGGGCGCTTCGATGCCGGAATGTGCCTCGGGCTCGGGGGCACTGCGCCAGCCGCCGCCCGTTGCTTCCGCTCCTGCCGATGGCGCCGCCGCTGCGCGGTCACCAAGGCTGAGAGGGGAGAGTCCTCCCGTCCGGGGACGTGCGGCTGGGGCGAAGGGCTCGGTTCGGTCGGCGGCCCAGGCGCGGGCGACGCTGGGGAGGGGCGGGTGGCTCCCTCGGTGCGGCCACGCCGGGTCTGAGCAGGAGCGTTCGTTGCAGTCAGGGCCATTGTTCCGGTGCTGATGGTGAGTGTTGGCTCCTGGCTGGGGGCTCCCTGAAGGAACCGCTTGAGGACGCTGGTGGGAGCACGAGCCGCTATGTGAAGCAGCATCTGGTTGACTTCGTCCTTGGACATCGTGGACGTGCGCCGCTCCAGCTCCAGGATCTGCTCGCGCGGCTCCTTCCCCGGAGGGGGGCGCGAGTGGCGCTCCGCTCGATGGGAGTCCGCCGGCTCCGTCCGCGGAGGGGGGCGCGAGGGGCGTACCCCTCCGGGGGAGGGCTCGGGCGACGCCTGCATCGGAGGGGAGCGCGAGTGGCGCTCCGCTCGATGGGAGGGACCGGCTGGCTCTGCCTGCGGATGTGGACGTGAGGTGCGTCCCGCTCGGGGGGAGGGTTTGGGCGGCGCCTGCACCAGAGGGGGGCGCGAGTGGCGCTCCGCTCGATGGGAGGCGCCTGTCTGCTCCGCCTGTGGAGGGTGGCGCGAGGAGCGTACCGCTCTGGGTGAGGGCTCGCGCACCGCCTTCCTCGGAGGGGGGCGCGAGTGGCGCTCCGTCCGATGGGAGAGGCTTGTCTGCGAAAGGGCAGTAGCACTCGGCGACACTGCCTTCGGCGGTGCCCATATCCCGGGAGGGTATGTCGGGGACGGCGCCCTGTACTTGCGCGACTCCGCCCTCAGGAGGGGACGCGAGGTGCGCCCCGCCCTGGGGGAGGGCGCGGCCGGCTGAACTCTCTGAAGGGGGCGCGAGGGGCGCTCCGCGCGTGGGGGAGACTCCGTCGTCGAGGTGGACGGGTGGGACTCCGAGTCCGACGGCTCCGACTGGGGAGGGGCCAAGCCAGACTTGGAAGCCCTCGGGGACGAAGACTGTGACCCATCTGATGGGCACGACGCCCAGGGGGTCGCCAGCGCAGCGGCCATCGAACATAGACCACGGCGGTGGGGCACTCCGCGACGCAGACCTGCGAGGGGCAGGCTTCGTAGCACTGCAAGGGCAGCGCCAGGCTCAGCAGCCGCACATGCCAGCCGACGGCGGGCTGCCGCGTGCGCGGGGAGGGGCCCAGGACGCGCACGGGTGCTCAAGGCCTTGGGCCTTGAGCCAAAATGCCTTGAGCCAAAATGGTTTGAGCCAAAATGGCTTGAGCCGAAATATATCCATATCCGCCGCCCGCTGGGGCACCAGGACGTCAGTTCCCAGGCGGTGGATATGGATAAATCCCCGCCTCGCACATAGGGGGGGAATGCGGCGACCCCCGATCGCCGGTCGGTGTTCGGACGCTTTCGTCGGTCTTTGGCGGCTTCCCAGCCTTGGGGTGCGTTCCAGCGGCTGGCCTCGCCGAGGGCGATCCGGGGGCGCCCGGAGGGTCCCAATCGGGAGGCCCGAGGTGTGGCCTGAGAACCATCTGGGGATAGGCATAGGGGGGATGCAACGACCCCCAATTGCCCACTGATCGCCGATAGGGGCCTGATAGCCCCACCCCGCCCAGCAACGTGCGGATTTGCGATCGGAGGCATATCGCCGATGTATCAGCGATGGATCGCCTATGCCAGTGCCCCCCTGTCGCTGCCTCTTGAGGAGGGAATAGCAGGCAGGGAAGTGAGTTGTGATCACGGAGGGGGGGAAGGAGTGAGCAGGGCTTTCTCTCGGGATCCTGTGTGATTCGGACGCCATCACGTCGTGACTTTCCCGCAGGCCCTTTTGTTCGAGCTGCGTTGGAGGAAAAGAGCCCCAATATACGCTTTTCCCACGCTTCCGCGTAACTTCCGCCATGGTAGCGGAGCGTGGTCCTGTGGTGAACTACGCAGATCAGATCCACGGGAGGAGTGAGGCCGTGCGGTGCCCATGGCAGCGGCGCCCAGAGAGCAGCTGGTGGACTGCAAGGGCGACATCAAACTGCTTGAGTTCAGTGGCAGAGATGAGGACTGGCCCAGCTGGTCCATCAAAGCGCATGCGTTCTTCGCGCTGGTGGGCTGGGATGACCTCATCGACAGTTTTGAGGCCCAGCCAGCGCTCGCGGTGGACAGCGCCAGCATGGGCGAGCGCGCGGCAGCGACGAGCAAGCTGCTGCGTGCCATGCTGATCACCAAGACCCAGCGCAAGGCGCTGGCGATGGTCACGTTCGCTGGCAGGCATGCAGGTTTTGTTGCCTGGCGAGCGATCAAGAACGAGTGCGAGCCTGGGGTGGGCAACAGGTTCGCGGCCATGCTCAGCGGCTTGCTCAACCCCGGGTGGGACGACCAGAAGCCGTTCGCCGATCAGCTCGTTGATTGGGACAACGACGTGGCGAGGTACGTCGTGCAGGCGGGCAAGGATTTTGGCGATGAGTTTCGCATCGCCACGCTGCTCGCCCATAGCCCTGAGCCGTACAAGACCGTCCTGCGCAACGCTCCGACGGCCGCCAAGATCTCGCACATGGCTATGCGGACCCACCTGAGAGAATAGGTGGCGTCTGGACAGGTCTTCGCAGCTGTCGGCACGGTGGACCAAGTTGTGGCGCCGATAGAGATCGGTGCGATCTCGGGCCATGCCCTGCCGCAACAGCCTTGGCCAAATCGCAAGGGCGACAAGTCGGGAGGCGGCAAGGGTGACAAGATGGGCGGCAAGGGCGACACGTGCGGCAAGGGCCGCAAGAAGGGAGTCAATAATGACAAGCTCAAGAGCAGCACCCCCGCCAAGTCCGAGGGAACCTGCAACTGGCGCCAGAAGCACGGGCACAAGGAGAAGGACTGCTGGCACAAGGCGGCCGGCAAGCCTCGGGCGCCGACGGCAGCGCCCCCGAAGGCGGCCGCGGTCCAGCAGGCACCTGTGGGCGCTGAGGGCCAGAGGGCCGCGGGCGCGGTGGCCGCAGTCTCCGACGGCGACGAGGTCGGCTGGGTCTTCGGGGCCAGGAGCTCGGTCGGAGGCTGCCGCAGGGAGGAGCGCAGAGGGCCCATCCTCGCAGACAGTGGAAGCGACGAGCACCTCTGCGGCCAAGCGTTCGGAGCACAGCACCCCACAGTCCAGGAGAACCCCGCGGCGCCCAAACTCACCGCGGCGGGCGGCCAGAGGCTTGGCACCGAGGGGCTCCGCGGGGCCCCGGTGGTCGTAGGTGGCGAGAAGGGTCGGGGGCCATGCTTGGGGAACCTCGGAGTGAGCTATGACCTCGCCCCTCAGGGCGCGGTGCTCAGCCTAGGGAAGATGGCGCGCAAGAAGTTCAGGTTCGCCCTCGAGGAGAGCGACCCGCGCGCCGTGAACCTCCGGTCGGGCGAGCGGGCGGACATGAAGCTAGTTGGCAGCGCGTTCCACTTTGCTGCGCGGATCCACGACGCGATGGGCGAAGCAAAGCTCGCAGCCTGCCCCGCCAGGGTCGCCGCCGCAGGCGCTGCTGGAGCTCCGCGGGGGCCAGCGCAAGAAGAGGGTCCTCCGCCGCGCCCAGAAGCTCGAGGGCCACGTGGCCCAGCGCCGCCAGACGCAGGAGCTGCGCCACATCGGGCGCAGGAGGCGGCTACGCCCGCGCAGGGCCAGGAGGCACCTGCGGCGGCGCAGCCGCCG